CCAATAAGGACCCCAAAATACTGTAGTCCTATTAACAGGACCCCCAACAAAGTACGCCTAAATGTGGGAAACCCCCACTACATCACTGCCAGCAAGTTGCCTGGATCTGATCTGACACTACCTTGCAGCACCCAAGCCGGTCCACAAAAAACCAGATCACTGGCTTGAGGCTCAAGTGCAACCCAAACCTCAAACCCATAGCCCCAAAAGACTGCCGTCTTGAAGTCCGGCTGCTCTATCCAAAGCGTCCAGGCCCCAAACTGCCTCATCGGGGAACCTTTGGGGCCCGAAGTCTGTAGCCCTAAACCCTCAACCCCAAAACGTAGAACCTGAACCAAAAAAACAAACCCTTACAAAAACCTAAACCCAAAACCACAAAGCCTTGACCCTAAAAGTGGAACCTTTGGAAAAGAAGCTGCTGAGGTTGGGGAGAAGACCCCGCTGCCTCCCGCATCAGAGCTGGCCCAGGTCGATTCTCCCCAAAACATTTCCACAAGGGATTGCCTAAACCCCAAAAGTATTTTGAATCATTGCCTTTTGGGCTTTGTTTAGGTGTTTAGGGCAATCATTTTACCTACTTTTGGGGTCTAGGTAGGGCTTAGGGGTTAGGGTTTAGGAGGGCTTGGAATTAGGTTGGGTGCTGCCCCCACCCTGCAACAGGCTATATGAGGCGTCAATACTAAGGGCTATACATACATACATACATACATACATACATACATACATACATAGAGAGATAGAATAATCGTATCCAACTGTTACAGATTTGGGGCAGTACGCTTTGTGAATGCTTTCGGGTATAGGCAGTACAGAACATAGGGTTGAGGGTTCAGGATGTGGGGTAATTTCAGGTTTACAGCATCAGGATTTACGGCTTAGGATTTGGGAGGCAGGATGTGGTCTTGCTACTCAGGGGTTGTTCCTTTTTGGGTTTCTTTCGATTGATTTAAGCGGCCTCTACCAAAGTACAGGTGAGCACTAGGCCGGGGTTGAGGTGCAGGGGGGCTTCTAGGGTGAAACCGGAAAACCTTAAACCCCCAAACTCTAAACAGAAGAAAAGATCAATAAGGGGATTTTGGTAACCCCAGCCTCCAAAATCAGGACCCTATAACCAGAATGCGATAGTCATAGGTGATTTACCATTATGATGATTTTATACCTTTTGAGGATAATTTGGGCTTATATTGGGATAATGAAAATAGAATGGAAGCTACTATAGCACGTTAGGGGTCCCTTCATTGTGCTCTCTGAATTCAGGTTGGGCTAGCTGGGATCCTATCTCTTAGGGGAGCGGTTCTAGCCTTATTGGCCCCTCTTGGTCTTGGACGTATAAGGATTCAGGACAAGGTCTGGGGTTGGGATGTAGCGACGGAATTCTACGGGTAGCGCAGTAGTGCGCAGAAGCGTGTAAGACAGACTAAGACCCAAAGGGTCCAGGTAGCTCTATAGTATACACTTTGGCCCTAAACTAGTTATATGGGAACCCCTTTGGGCCCTAAATATGTACTATACAACTACTTGGACCCTTTGGGAGAGTTCATGAGCACTTGGTGCTGATTCCGAAGCCAGGCCCAGAAATAAACCTGAAGCCCGAGAACCTGACGCCAAGAGCCTCAGGGTTCAGGATTTATAGGGGTTATATTGGGATAATGGAAAAGAAAATGGAAACTGCTATTTAGGGTTTAGGGTTTGGGGTTTGGGGTTTAGGGGTGGCAGATTCAGGTAATCTCGCAAGTGGGATGATAGGCTGCCCAGGACAAGAGCCATAAATGCATTTGCCTTTGGACCGTGCGTGGTAGACGCAAGTGGCCTCCGCGCACAAGATCACCCCTCATGTGCCCCAAAGCAGGAAACAAAAAGACAACTTGAACCCTACCTGCCAGACCCTCAAACCTACACACCCTGAGGGTCCAAGGACCCAAATAAATAGGGTTTTAGGGCCCAAGTACTACAACATTAATGGTAGTTGGGCCCTAAAGCCCTATTATTTGGGTCCTTGCAACCTTATTCAGTCCCTATATATCCCGATATATATCCCCCTATAACCCCTTTAAAGGGACCCTATTGTTTGGGTCCTTGGACCGTTAGGGACACTTCCGCCTGGACAGGCTGCAACCCTCGCTATTCTGCCATATGAGCCAGAATCTAAACTCCTTAAAGGGGGGTATATAGGGGACTATATAGGGGACTACTATAGGGGTCATTAAGGGGGATACCAGGAATTAAGACTATAGCTCATATACATATTTTCTTTGTCCTGCCTGTAAAGTGGCTTCCGGTTTACCGATGCATGGTAGCTACAGCTAAATCTACTCGGTATAGGGAACAAAGAGCCCACGACTTCCATTCCTGGAGCTCAGGGATAGATTCCCCAAATCCCATAAACCCTACCTGCACCCCAAAAGTATGTAAAAGAATGGCATGGATGGCTGTTATTTGAGTGTGAGTGCATTATTTTACTTACCTCTGGGGTTTGGGTAGACCCTGCAAACCCTACGGCAAATTCTTAGCCCCTTTGAGCCTTACACTGCCAGGTTGCTCTTAAGGAACTTAGTTTAAGTTACTATTTTGGGGAAAGCATACTAATTACTATAGATGCCCATTATGGTAACTTAAGCCCTAACCCCTAAACCATACATACCCGACATGGTAACTTGATTTAGAGTCCCCGTTAAGTAGATAGTATATGACTTTGGGTATATTATGATAAAGTCCCCATAGACCTCATATTCTATCTACTTAAGGGGACCCTAAACCCTGAACCCTAGACCCTAAACCCTAAACCCTAAACCTACTAAGCTCCTTAAAAGCAACCCAGACTTGGCAGGAGATCCGGCAGTTCCAGGCCAGACTCTGGAGAAGATCTCGCAACACTTAGGGGTTTAGGGGTTTAGGGTTTAGGGTTTAGGGGTTTAGGGTTTAGGGGTTTAGGGGTTTAGGGGTTTAGGGTTTAGGGGTTAGGGTTTAGGGCAAGAGACTTAGGAGCCTCATAATTGGCTTCAAAACACCACTTATGATTGGAATCATAATTCTCCTGGACCTCCATCTAGGGGCCACAAGTTCCAGTTCGGCTGTCTCGGGTTAGGTTCAGGGTTCCTGGGTTTAGGCGTTTGGTGTCCGTGGAGCATAATAACGGTGATAACAACAGCAGCAGCAATTGCTACAACTTCTTCTCCAGGCGCGTTGAGGATCTAGGGCTGCGCATGGACTGGGATCAAAGCTTTAGGCTTGCTGTGAGGGTTCAGGCTTCAGGGTTTGGGGGGCGTAGAACAATAGTGCGCGATCAGCTGAAAAAAAATGGAAAATGAAATGGAAGCTGGGTTTGATGGGAGTATATATGTATAGCAGACTAAGTTGTTTCAATATTGCAGGTTTCATGCACAAGTTTTTCCAGTTGCAGGGTTGTAGGGATTTGGGGGTTTGGGGTTTTGTGTACTAGGGTTTTGCGGGTTTAGGGCAACACAGAGTGGGGGTTCTAGGTCTAATTACGACAATCCGATTTCGCTTTTTTCTGATACCAAGCATACAATACATTGACCCAAAACCCTAAACACTAGGCCGTGTACTTAGGACTCCCATAAGCCATTTAGAAACCCCGGTATCCCCACCCTACTTACTAAATCCCCACTGACGCCCCAAGCAGTTCCAGCAACCATGACGGAGTTCACAGCAGTCAGCGCATCAATAACCCTAAGGGTACAAGTACCCAATAATCGTACACTCACCCCAAACCTGTGCTACAGGTACTATTACCCGCAACCCAAGTACTCAATCATTGGGTACTTGGACTTGGACCCTTTGGGTAACTGTGGAGAGGGCAAGTTAGATAAAGGTGGGAGCGCAAATGGTTAAGATGACAGCTTCACTGAGTAAATCCTTATGCGCAACCAGTCCGCGTCTTGAAGCGGTTTATACTACTGCCACACATATACCGTGATGAGCCACGGAGATGTGAACAGCCCCGATGGTCCTCAACAACCCTGAAGGCATTCCCCAGGAGCCTTGTTGAGGCTCAATTTTGCTCAGTTCTCATCCGCTGCAAGTATCAGATTTACTGCTGTTCTGGTTCTCTCCTGTGGTAAATATTTATACACAGGTTTCGAAACAAGCTCTTAGGGGATTCACTACAATCCTCACTTATCACTTGGGATCCCTACATGCTGAACACGGCCGGCCATGTTACACGGGCCTGAATCTCTGCCGTTTGTTCTTCAGTTGCCTTGCATCCCTCGAATACTACTACCTAAACCCTAAACCCCAAAACCATGTTCTAGGCATGCAGGACTTTCTCTCAATGATTCCTATACAAAGTTCCAGGACATTCGTATGGGTTGTTCTCAAAATCATGGGCCCCTTTCAGCTACATGTTATGTTACGGCAGCTATGATTTAGGGATACCAAAATTGGACTGTAAACCCTAAACCCTAAACCCCACTTTCTGGAATCCCCTTTTCTCCCTAGGCCTCTTTTTTGTTACCCCACCTTGGAGACAGTCAGGCAGAGACCTCTTAGCCCCACATATCCCCATATACCTCTTAAAAGGGACCTCAGGGAACACCTTTTTGAAAGGCCCAGACCATGTAGGCCACCTTAACCCCTAAAACCTGAATAGTCCAATAGTAGTTATTCCATGTCCACTTACTTTCCCATTTGTTCCTCCATTATTGACCCTGAACCCTCAACCCAAACTACAGTCATCTACTCATCCCTTTAATCCCCCTAGCCTTGTAAAGCTCATATTCGGCTCATCATTCCGTAGGGCTATACTGCGATAAAAATTAGTTCCCAAGAAGATCAATCCCATCTTAGGGGGATAACCCTAAACCCTAATATTCGGGGAGATCAATCCCATATTAAGGGGGATAACCCTAAATCCTTAACCCTAAACCCTAAACCCCCAACCCTGAACCCTTAACCATAAACCCCCAACCCTAAACCCTTAACCCTCAACCCTAAACTAAACCCTACTGTTAGGGGGAGGGGATTACCCATCCGTCCGCCTGGCAAGGCCGCCGTGGCCACAGAGGCCACTGCCGCAGTCTGGCCGGCATCACCTCCTCGGCTTCAGATGAGGTATCCCCCTTAATAGCCCCCTATGATAGGGCTTAGGGTGTATAGGGCTTAGGGTGTATAGAGTTTAGGGTTAAGGGTTTAGGGTTCAGGGTTTAGGGTTAAGGGTTTAGGGTTTAGGGTTAGGAGTTTAGGGTTAAGGGTTTAGGGTTAAGGGTTTAGGCTTTAGGGGTGAGCCGTAGTCTAAACTCCTAGTATCCCCCCCCTCAGAGACCCCATAACAAGCCCCTATGGCTTCAGTTGGGGCGGTTTGGGGCTTAGACTTTGGGTCTTAAGAGCTCCGGATAAGGCTTCAGGGCTTAGGATTAAGGATTACGGGCATAGGCTTTACGGTTCAGGCTTTAGGGTTGGGCTTTAGGGTATAGGCCTCAGTGTTTGGGCTTCCTCTAGGATCCGGGCTATAGGGTGCAGGAGATAGGGCTGGCGCAAAAGGCTTCAGATGTTGCAATGAGAAGAATTTGATAACTCACAATCTGATAAGATTCATATAATAGGTTGTTAAAATTCTGGCCCCTTTTCGGTACATTACAAAGACACCCAACAACGGGCCATAAGCTTGAAAGCCACTGTATGACTAGTATCCTCATTAATATCCCCTGTAGACTTCCCCTATATAATCCATTATACAACCCTTTTAAGGAGTTTGGACCATAGCTCATATGAGAGGGCCATAGGTTCCTGGTTTTGGGAGCGGAGGGTGCCCGTGATAATGTCGAATGCTTACGCACTGCAGTGGGTAGAGCAAGTCTTGCACTACCTAAGATTGCCAATGTACTGTAAGATCCCCGGTATACTGCACCTCCTAGTGTCTAAAGGGCGTAAGAGGTTTTCTCAGTCCCGAGTAGGCCCTAAACCCTAAACTCTAAATAGCAGTTTCCACTTTATTTTCCATTATCCCAATATGACCCAAGTATAACCCGAATATTACCCCAATGGGTCCCAAAACCCTAAACCCAAAACCCTCTAAACCCTAAACCCCAATATAACGCTACCACTACCCCAATGTGGTTTAGGGTTTTTCGAAGCATGGCGGCAGTTCTCTTGAAAATCTAAGCTAAAACCTCCAGGCCCAACAAGCTGCACACTCTACCGTTCCCGTTTTTCTTGTTTATTGGTTTAGGGCTTAGGGTCTAAACCCTAAAGCCCAAACCCTAGACCATTAAAGAAAAACTAAATCCTAAACCCAAACCTTAGCTTTCGCATACCCTAAACCATGCACTAAACCCCAAACTAAGTCCTTAACCCCGAAGCTTTCGTTTCAAGAATTCCTACATGGTAGTTGTTCAAAATACCTGTCCCCAAAATGGCCATAATGCAGGTTCCCTGTTTGGTTAGGATCCCCGTTTAAAGAAGTGTATTCCCAATGGTCCCTCCTTTACGAGGACTTTTAGAACAACCCCCACATCTGCCACTCCGGCCTGCTCTCGCACGCAGGTTTACCAACTTCAGGGTGTTGGCCGTGTCAAAAACGAAGGGGCCATCGTGGTCCTGAGGAGCGAGTATCTTGTTTAGGGGTTTAGGGTTTAGGGGCTTATAAGGGATGACGGAAACTGAGACAGAAAAGAAAACGGAAAATATAATGGCCCCTAAACCCTAGACCCTAAACCCTAATCCCTAAACCCTAATCCCTAATCCCTACACCCTGGGTTATTTCCGACTTTCAGGCTTGGGTCCAAGTTTCTGAAGCAAAGACAGGGCTTATGGCTTAGGGTCTAAGAGGTAAGCTGCTAGCTTTTTCGAGGGAATCAAGTGAAACCGCATGGACATTAAAGGGTAATCTCAATCTCCTGGGTTGCCGTTAAGAAACTTATATTAAGTTACCATAATATAAATATGGGTCTATACTAAAGACAACTAATTGGGTTTGCTTACCTCAGTAACTTCATTTAAGTTCCTTAACAGCAGCCCAGTCTCTATTGGAGTCCCGGGCATGCCTTTACAACTTCTTGCTATACGTGGGTCTGCGTCATACAAGTAATTCTGCTGCCCGAGCACCAGGAAAGCAATCATCATGGTGAACGCTGGACCACTGAACCCTAAACCCCCAACCCGCAAACCCCTATACCCCGAACCCTAAATAGAACCCTAAACCCCTCAACCCTGAACTCTACACTGAATCCTACACTGTAAATCCTGGCCCAGAAAATCCGAATCCCAAAAGCACCCTGGGTCTCCTCGGGCATCCGATTGTCCGACTCGTCGGTGACGAGGTCCATGTCGAATCCTCACACGTAAGGGGGGGTGAATTGCCAAGTTTCACCTTCATTAAACTTACTTAGGGTTTAGGGCCCTAATTGTCCTGAAACGAGCTTAATTAAGGAGGGGAACCCAAAGCAGTAGTTTGGGGCGTGGTTACGGGAACCTGTGTGTAATTCTGAGGCACCTACTTTGCTCAGGGGATGACCCTGTGCAGGGCCTTGAAGCCCTGAATCCTCGTGGCCATAAACAGCAGGTTTTTGGGATAGGGTTTGTTTGGGGGATTCATGTTCGGAGTTGCTTTCTACAACTGTGATCAAGATAGGCATCTGTCAAAAAGTGCGCCCACGTTTTTCTTCGCCAACCTATTCAAATCCTTGTAATAGGAACCTCCCAAACAGGCTCCCTTTCCCTTTTGAAGCCCTCCAACATTCTCTGTCATCCCATTTTGAGTCTAGGGTTGAGGGCGGGCAGGAACAAGAGAGAAAAAATATCGCAGAAAACACTTCAATCTCAGGCTTGAACTGCTCACCTAGTTTGGGCCCTTGATCCTGGACTCCTTATATACACATGATATGCCCCATATGCCATACGCCTCTAATTGCAAGCCCGTCCAGGGCCCATAGTTAGGACCCAGGACCCGGGTAGGGGCCCATATTCGGGCCCACGGTTTCAACCTTCAACCCTTAACTTTAATCCCTAAACACTACACCCTAAATCCTAAATCCGATGTTAGGGCCCGTGGCTAGCACCATAGATTCAATGGGATTGAGTCTTAGGGTAGAGGCTTCCTCCATGCACGCCTGTTAGGGTTTAGGGTTTAGGGTTTAGTTTTTAGGGTTTAGGGTCTAGGGTTTAGGGTTTCGGGCTTTTGGTCTATAGAACCTGGGTCCTAGGGTAGTTTAGACAGGAGATAGGGAAATTGTAAGGATTCAGCCCCCAAAACTAACCCTCCCTCAAACTGACTCGGGTTTAGGGTTTGGGCTTTAGAGGTTATGGTTAGGATTTAGGGCGTAGGTGTTAGAGCATACATGAACATATTGTAGGGGTAATTGAGAAAGCACATAGGGAGTATAGAATAGACAGCCCCGTGTTCTCCTTGCTCTTTGCAGGGGTCTATTGGGGTGTCCAGGCGAGTTTCGGGGAAGCGCTGATGGTGCCATGGGCAGACGATCTTACACCAAATCCCGACCCCTAAACCCTGGACCCCCAAACCCTGAACTCCTAAACCCTAAACCCCTAAACTCTGAACCCCTAAACCCTAAACCCTAAGCCCTAAAAACCCCTAAACCCTAAACCCCTAAACCCTAGACCACGTAAAACAATTTTTTCCAGAAATTACTCAGAGCCTCCTATTCGATTTGGTGAGGTCCCTATTGAGTGAAGCTTTTTTGACCCAAGGTGCTTCTGGATCTGAAAGTAAGTAATTTTGAATTGCTTTTTTGATCAGGGTCTAGAGATGCTCTGGGACCCCGCCCTTCTGAAATTCAATCACAAATTCTCTGATCCCTTCCTTCACCTGGCTTACATGAGTAGGAGCCAAAGGATTTCTGTTCCCTTGCTAGTTTGAATAGGAGCATGGGATCCCCCAACCCCCCATTCTGTTTTGATGACTTTCTATTATAGGGGATCCCCTTTTCTTTTAGGAGGGCCCACGCTAGTCAGGATCCAACATTGAGTTGCTGCCGTGGTACTCATGACGAACGATGCCAGGAGAGCAGAGATTTGTGATCTAGCGTGCCTGCGCAGCAGTCATAGAGTCGATCCTGAAATCTACATTAGCATATTATGGTATATCATTGAATATTGTATTAGCTATATTATGGTATATTGTAGTATATTCTAGTATACTATGATATTATAGCGTAGTATACTCTAGTATGAATTATGTAGTATATTGTAGTACATTATAATACACCATTCCCTGCAGCACCTACAGAATTCCCGTGGCCCTGCCAAGGCCTGGCCTCAAGCAAGAACTTTGACCCTTACACCAATATTCATATGGGTTTAGGGTTTAGGGTTTAGGGTTTAGGTGGTTGTCAAAATTATGGTACCCATCAGGGTAACATTAGGGTTATATTGGGGTTATGTGGGGGATAATGGAAAGAAAATGGAAACTACTATAATGGGTTCTAATATGAGCTATGGGAAATAATACGCATTTAAATTATGGACATGGCTTCCTATTAGGAAATATATTTGGGACTTTACTTTACTAAACTGCCAAAAGGACACTTATGTCTACCTTTCATGGTCCTTTGGTGACAAAAGCTCATATCTACTGCCCAGCCAGACGCCGCCGGGGGATGCAAGCAAGGACACCCCCCCGAAATGAGCGTTCATGCAATCAGAGGGACCCTTAACCCTAAACCATGAAGCTTTGGCGGGGATCCATTTAAAATGGGTTCCGTTAGGAAATCTGGGCATAAGTGAGTACTCCGGCCCCCACACAGACATCAGCATCCACAAAATGAGGTTTTGTTGAATCTGCCCAATAAGGGACACGAGCACCTGAACAAATCTAGGAGCCCGCACCGAAACCTAGAATGCAAATCCTAAAGCCTGAACACTGAAAAACTTGCCGAAACTCCAAACCCTATAACCTTACTTCCTGTAACCTAACCCCTACATCCCTTGGCCCCAACCCGACCAACCGAAGAAACTTTTTCCAAACCCTTGTGTTTCTTCTGTCCTCAAAGAAACACCATTTGTGGAGACCCCTCAGCCCGCGACAGCTCGCCAGTGCAGCGCTTTCCTGAGCTGATACAGGTTACTGTAGTCTGTAGTCTTTTGGAGACTTAGCAGGAATGGAAAGGAAAATAGGAACTACTACGCACCATTTAGGTTCCAGGGTGTATGGGGTTCATAGTCTTCATCACGAACTGAGGAGAATAAAGAGGGAAGAAGAAGGGGGAATCCCTTTCGGGATCGTGCAGCGCTTAGTTCGGGAAAAAATCCGGATGACACCAAAGAAATGCCTCGAATAAGGTCCTTCAGACCAGAAGTTTGGGTATTGCCGCCACTCAGCGACAGCTGGATAATAATTACGATCTGAGCAATAATCTATACTCCTAGTATTCCCCTTATTAACCCCTAAAAAACTCATATAATACCCTATATAACCCTCTCTAAGGAGTTTAAACCCTAAACCCTACAGAAAGGGGGCTATATAATCTCCAACCCTCATTCACGGAGTTTAGACTACAACTCAGATTGAAGCTGGGGATGATGTAGGAATTTACCAGGATAGGTTTGGGCTTAAGGCTTAGAGTGTAGGGTTTGGGGGCCTATAAACATTGCATTCTAGGGATCAATGTTAAACATGATTCTTTAGGAGTTTACTTTCCACTTAGGACCCCTACTAAGGGCTAACCCTTCATTGCCTATAATAGGAATATAAGGGAATCCCAAGGGTGTTAAGGGTCTAAGGTCCAAGCTAAGTCCCAAGGAGGAGTCTGGATATCAAGCCCTAGATCTGCCACTATTATAGACTGCTACTCTGCGGTTTAGGGTTTAGGGTTTGGGTTTAGGGTTTAGGGCTTAGGGTAGGGGCAGCACGCAATCTATACTGCTAATAATCCCTATAGATCCCAAAATAAACCCAGCTTTCATTTCGGTTTACATCCACTCCGATTGGTTTTCCATTTGGTTCTGCATCATTGAGGTAATATCCCTGAAGCCAAAACCCTAAACCCTAATCCGTAAAGCCTACAGCCAAGTCTCTGCCATGGCCAAATGTCACAATCTCCCTCTCTCTGTTCATCTGATTGAAGGTCTGCGCAAGCTGCAATGTAAGGGAGAGATGACTGAACGAAGCCTCTTTGATCTTAAAAACTAAACGCGAACCCCAAATAGGATTCTTGGGGCTCATGGTGTTCATTCATGAAGGTCGCGCCTGGTGGGAAGTGGAGCTCCTGAACCCTAAATCCATAGGGTTTAGGGTTTACCTTCATCTGTGCGGGGCTGAGTCGGGACTGGGCATCATGGAGACTTTTCTGGAGAGTGTAACAAGGCTTAGAAAGTTGTCTGTTTCTGACAACTCTTTTGGGCACCCTACATATCAGGGCCGTAAAATGCTGGGGGCCCAATTTCAAGGACCCCCATACTATGAGGACTTCTACAGGGCTCCCTTCCCGCCCTTTCCCCGCCAAGTCAGCCCGGCTAGAGAGCCCGGCGAAAGAGGAAAACTCCTCAGGATTATTGTAAAATCTAAGTCAGGGTTTGGGGTTACAGACAGAGCAAGCCCCAAAGAGGCCCTCTAGGGAAACAGGTGTCAAAACCAACTTGACCAGTTGCAAAGATCTGCCATTAGTGGGTCCTCAGGGTGCACGCCCCCAAACCCATCTCTTGCACGCCCTACAAAGCAACTCCGCCTACAGTCGAAGAAGTTGACTCTAGCAGAACAATTACAAACCTGAAGAAAGGACCGTCCTGTGAGGGCTTTGTATACATTAGGAGGACCCCCTGCCTGTAATGCTGACTGTAAGGGATAAGAAGGATTATATTAGGTTCCTCTTATATTCCTCTTATACCACTGTTACAGGGTGCGGGGGTCCTCCTCATGTATATACACCTACACACCGATAGTCGGTGAGCTCGGCACAACTTGCTCCAGAAGAACACGCTGCTGATCAGAGAGAGGAAAGGTTTTGATGCTGGGACTACAGGCAGTAGCAGCGTCAATATATATAGAGTACTTCAAAACAGCGGGAATGCTGTGCACGTATACAACTTCCCACCTAGAAACATGAACTCCAACCGCCTCTGGATCCGTATAGCGGTGCGGACAGAAGGAGCCAGAATCCTTAAAGTACTTCTCGTCCTGCGATCCCCCACTCCCCACCCAAGACAATGCTGCGTGGGGTGCAGGTCGGGGACTTAATGAGAGCAATAACCATCATAGCAATCATCATCATAGTAGTACTACTACTGCTGGTAACACTAAAAGTAGCAATAGCTACAATAACAATGTTGATGTTGACAAGAATACATGTAAGAATAATCATACTTAACGGGTTGATGCCGTCATTTGATGCGGCAGCCTGTGCTAACTGGAGATTGCTGCCCCAGCTATGAATACTGCCAATGCATTACAGCAATCACGGTTTGCTCCTTCATTCATCATGTTTTCATGCCCGGTACAACGGTCACTATTGAAGCTGCGGGGTCCAGCGTAACACATCGTGGGTTTGGATAAGGGCGGCTGTGTGATAGAGCATCCTTTCAATAACAAGCAATGAAAACACATCAGGTCAGTTGCCATGTTCCAAGCCATGGCATTAGGTCCATTCAGATATCTAGGGGGCCGTAATTCACAGACCTCTTGGAAAAGCCCTTCCACAAAGATTTGAATGCAGCACGGTTCAAATGTCAAGTTGCAGATGAATCAATTTTTTTTTGGGGGGGGGGGCAGGCGACTAACTTAAGCAATCCCCATGGTTATAACTCACGTGAGAAGTCTCCCCAAGCAAACATATACGAGTGAACACGAGTGCTATGCAAGCATGTTTCTGAGGCATCGTGTTGCTCAGGGTTTCAAGGGTTTCGGGATGTACGCGTCAGGGTTTAGGGGAGGAATTCTTGAAATTCGAGGGTTTCAAACGTAATAGACATTGGATGCTCCCGGACAGCGGCTCCTTGTGAACGGCATCGGCGTACAAGAAGATTGTGGCCTGAGGTTTCGGGGAAATGTAGAAGCCATAAGAATTCAGAAGCGTCATGCCTTTGCATCAATCCCCTGAGGCGGAGGCCTAGGGTTTTTAGATCCAGGGACGGAGAGCAGGAGTTACCCACGGGGCGCAGATATTACAAGGGTTTACCCTCCCCAAAACTGACATGGAAACACCCGGCAGAGCCCTGTAATCCCTACATAGACCCTTTCAATAGATATCTGAAGGTACGTGGTACTATCCCAAACCCAAAAGTCTGAAGGTACTATCCCCCACTCAGCTTCCGGCACCCTGAGGAATCTTATACCCACCGAACTCCATGGGAATCTCTGCCTGGGCACGCTTTGGCGTGGCGCAGGGTTTAGGGTTCAGGGTTTACGGTTTAAGGTTCAAGGCTTAGTGTTGCGGGCTCCAATCTGGGAACGTGAATAAATTCGGGGTGCCATTTGACGGGTCCAAGGGATAGTTGATTTTTTGGGGGGTCCCCATAATAAGGAGTAAAACATTTTGGGGTCTACATTGCCGCCTCCCTATTTAGAGAAACTGCCATGCCTGCATTTCGTAGATGAGCAATCTACCCAATATACTATAGTAGTTTCCATTTTCTTTTCCATTGTCCCAATATAACCCCAATATAAACCCCATGTAATCCCTATAATCCCTGTAGTTTCCATTTTCTTTTCCATTATCCCATTATAACAAGTGCTATTTCCTGTGAGCTCCTGTAGAGACGCCATACATGATAAGCTGCTCGGGATCTACGTACCACAACCCCAGGTCTGCATGCGAACCTGGCCTTCAGGGGTAACAGGCCCTCGCATTTTCTGAGCGGGCTCCGCGCGCTGTAATTGAGGGTGTGGGTGCGCGTGGTTCATGTTTGTCTTGCGCGGCTCCACTGGGGGGGTTGGTGAGGGGAAGGGAATTATTGGAACAGAATTGCTTTTTTGGGCAGCCAAAAAAATCGCACAGCACCCCGGCTATTCTCCTTGAAGAAGTGGACTCTAAGGGAGTCCGTGCGTGGGGGAGTTTGAGCCTTCTTCGTTTCACTGCTCCAACTTGGTGCCAGGCAGTTCGCAGCGTGAGCTTCGCAGGAATGTCACCTCAAGTCATTGTCGGAAAGGGCTTAAGATCTAAGGTTTGGGGTTTAGGGTGTTGGGTTTATCATTTTGGGTGAAGGGTGTTGGGTCTAGGATTTTGCCCGAAGCGGCCCTTGCACTCTGGAACCATAAACCTCAAGTCCTTAAAGCGTACATGCCGCACAAAACTTACAACCTGGAAAAAGCTCGGAGCCACCACGGTGTAGGGTTCAGGGTAGGTCCCAAAAGGTCCATGTAGCTATGCATCATATACTCAGGGCCCACAGGCGTTCCCATGTAACTACTTCAGGGCCCAACTATATGCTATATAGCTACATGGACCCTTTGGGGGCGCAACTGGGTTTATAAGGGTCCAATGGGGATCTAAACTGGTGTTAAAGGGTATGCAGTATCTTAGGATATCCACGGTAGGAATGGTCTGGGCAGTTGAAGGCAGGGCTTGAACTATGCTGCTTGGGTTTTTCCAGCCCCTGGCCCAATGGCCACGCGATGATAATTTCAGGAAGGCCAATGCAGATGATGCTTCGTCTAAACAAGGGGGGGTTTCCCAAAATGAGGGGTACCTTTTCGGGGGTCCCTATAACAAGGATTATGGCATTTTGGGATGTATATTGGCGTCCCCTTATTTAGGGAAACTACCACAATGCCTCCCCCGATATAGAGTTCAGGATGTATGGCATCCCCATCTGCATACTGTAAATATTTGTTCTCCTCAGAGTATATGACTGTACTACTTTCAGGATATTCAGTATTAGGGCCCCAGCAAGTTTGATTGTTGCCTTGTGCAGCTGCAAGAATGTCCAGCGTGCAAGGCAGTACAAGAAACACGCAAGCTCCTCAGCAAATAGCCTTTGAGGAGCGAAACTGCATTCCAAGAGGGTAACCATCTCGAAGCCCCGCATGCTTCGGCCCATGCTAACCTCTCAATGAGATATGTCGTCAACCTTCGGCACGAATCCCTGCGAGAAGGACGATCCCCTTCAAGGCTGAATCCCTGAAACTGTGGCAAGCGGCTGTGTAACCTCACTGCCTCCGTGATGCAGGCGTTGGTCCTTGGGGTTAGAGCTGGGAGCTTGAGTTTCAGGTTTGGGTAAATAGGGCATAATGGACTTGGGCTGAAAGGATGTAGGAGGTCGGGGCGGTTGGGGGCTAATGGGTCTGATGTTCGGTTTAGGAATTGATCGGGGCTAGACAGATGGCTGTAAGGATCGGCAAATGGCGGGGGGTACGGTGGAATAGTGAAGACTCAGAGCTACCACATATCTCAAAGAGACCGTGACACAGTTTATGGTTAAAGTTTAGGGTTTAGGTTAAGCCATTTCCCCTCACGGCAAATGCTACCACAAGATGTAATAAAGTGATTATAATAACCCCTTAATAAAAAGAACCTTTAAGGACAGTGACTATAAGTCGGAATGATCCAAAGCTGAGGGTTCTACGACGGCTTCCATTCCTTCATGCTCAGGGCTGCAAAACTTGCATGACAGATCACCCTTAAACCCTAAACCCTCAAGGGCCAAGCTTTCAAACCCTACACTTGGTTCCCCGGTTTCAGGCTTTGGGTTTTACGGTTCAACCCTAAACTCCAAACCTAGGCCAACCCCAACTCCGGCATGTCGAGTGTGAAACGCTGCCCTCAAGCGAAAACCATGAATCAATGCTGCTTCAGCAGTTGCTCAGGGATACCAAAGACCGACAGAGCATCCTCAACCCTAAGCTTAAGCCATAAACAAAAACCTTAACCAGTAAACCTATTTCCAGGTTAACCTCCAAAAATCAAGAGCCTAAAACCTCAACTCCCGCCGCCTCCCCCACCCACCCAACAAATACAAAGCAAAGAAGCTAAACACACACACACACACA